TTTTCGACAAATTAATGAAATTTTGTGAAATAATACAATCATATGATATATAAAAGTTAATTTGCATTTTCTTACGATCAAAGCATACATTACTTGATATGTACTCAAGGAAAATGAATTGCATTAGAAATCTGCCTTAAAGTTGCGTCTGTCGACTGTATATTTGTTGTTTGCCTAAAATGAATATTATTTGCATTTTAATTATTAACATTAATATTGGATAATTTAATTTGATATGTATTTTAGATGATTACTAAACATTAAGTTTATATCGACAATATTTATTTGAGAAAGCCGTTATACCATGATCAACATTAATCTCTTATTAATATTTTAGTTAATACATAAATTCTTATATAAATTAAATGATTTATAGATTGCAGTTATATATAGAAGTGAGACTAATAAATATCTTACTTTATTTGTTCAATACTTACTGTATATATTTATTTTAAGATATTATTCACTACATAAGTAAGCTTTTAGATAAACCAATTTATTTAATCTTTGCATAAATGGTATTTTAGCAAATGTAAGGGTATTCGCCACAAATTGCTGTATAATAATTGTTAAATTCCTAATTGAATTGTTTGGTAAATTGGTAGCGCTATTACTTCTCATATATTAATAATATGAGCAATAATTCATATTTTGTGTCTTATTTTGTTGTTTGAAATATTGTGCAAACACTTTAAGAATCGATTACACATTTGAGGGCTACTCTATGTTATAGACATTGCATTACATTTTGCAGAATATTATTTGGTGTACACTTTCATAAGACTAATACAATTTTTTGTGGGTTTTGTCAAATAATTGCTGTTATATTTTGTTGTATTTTTTTAAATCTAAAATTATTTAAAACAGTAATCGGAGAATGAATATAATTTACCCTAATATTCAACATATAGCGCGCACCCCTTGTACAGTATAATATTAATAAATTTACCAATCTATTTAAATAAACAAGTTTTCAAACAAACCATAATATTAACCTCAATTCTGGAGAAGTAAATAGAGCTAAAAAAGAGCATACAAAATGTTCAAATTTTTATATTTTATAATTCTGCAAAGTTATTATAAAGGAAATTTAGGAAATCTCTTTTACTATTAGAAGGTATAGTTTTGGATAACTACCCTCACCCCTACGTTATAGTAAATAATGGGATGAGTCCATACTATACTCATTCATGAAATGCAACACATAGTAACACAATAGTCACACCTATTTTGTGTTTTTAGTAACTCACGAGTTATTATTTGTGCTAGTTATAACTATTAGAAGGTTTTTCATATGATTAGTATTAGCCCATATGATTAACATACTCTCGTAGACTTAGAATTAGTTTATTTAATTAGCATAGATTAGTACCAGAGATTTAGAACTAATGATATATAATTAAATTGGAATCTCATTACTCCCGTAGAGTTAACATTAGCACCAAATAGATTTATCTGTAAATATACTCCCATAGAATTAATATTGCAAATATGACAAAATTTATTATCAAGTTAAATTTAGCCATAGACTTAAGCTTGGATCCTATGTTATTTCCCATGGAGGGGGTGCTTATAATCGAACTTATAAACGTGAATTTTTGTACTGAATTGAGGTTAAAAATTTAACGAAAGACAAGGTGCATACAAAATTAATATTTAATGTAGCTAGGTTCAGGAATATGATCTAGGTGTATTCAAGATCTAAACTGTAATTTCTAAACTGTTGTAATCTATGGACTTTTCATATGTTATTTATATTTAGAATTAATTAGTATAAAATATCAGTTCTAACTATATTTATTTCTATTGAATTTATCAAGGACAAAATATTAAGCTAAAATACACTAATTCATAATAATATAGTTCTTATTTACAGTAATATCTTTGAATGTATTGGTGTTATAATTTGTAGACACAACGGATTCGTATGAATCAGTGAAACCCAATTATAGGTTATTTGTATAACACTGTCCAGTAATTCAAGTCATATGGACTTCAATGAATAAAAACATATTTCAAATACACACTCATTAGTAATGAATAATTACTATGAAATCCATTGTATTACTTGACAGTATTATGTATTTTGTACATTGAATAGATCTTTACTTTAAATAAAAATACTTACCATGCATTCATATGTGCCACTGTCCATTTGTCTAGCTGGGTCAATCTCTAGTTTGCTTTTAATCTTGTCTTTTCCGTATTTCCATTCAGATATCTTTATTAATATAAGATTTGGAATATTTGAGTGAAGAATATGTGAGAATTATGTGAATAAATGCATACTTGAAGGTATGGATGCAAATGAGGGTCTAATTCAATGCTATCCTTGAACCACGTAATCCTATAAACAAAATTTGGTTAAATAGTGAGCGCTATTTGTTTGGGTAGTTGATGGCATACATGGGCACCGGATCACCAGTTGATACACATATGAATACAATCTAGAGATGAGATAATGCAATGAAATGATGTCTAAGAAGAAGTGGTTTGGACTCACTTTATGTCCTAAATAGAACTCATAGTCGAAATGTGATGCCTGTATAATCTGAGCGCCCTATCATGTCATTGAAGCACAAAAAATAGAGATTTTAGTGAAAATGCCTTAAAATAAATGAATAAATTGATGTCTTTTGAAACTTATAAAAAAGAGTGAAACTCTATTAGTGATAGGTTTCGCACAATTTTCATCTAATCCTTAAAAATCCTGAAATTGAACGACACATGAAAATGTAGCCCAAATTGACTAAAACTTTAACATAATATTTATGTATTGATACCTAAAATTTATTCATTTATCTTACAATTCAGTGAATCTAAACTTAACATCTGAAGGCTCTGTCAAAATATAAATGTGATATTTAATGGAATTTGTGAACAAAATATTAATATTTATTGCAAAGCTTAGCATTTTTCGCTCCAAAACCTTAAAAATCCGACAATTTTTCATTTGTTTGTTTTCGTTTTGCTTTTATCATTAAAATTCTGTAGAGATTTCACTTCTAGTGTTGGCTTTTATTTCTTTATAACCACTGGATGTTAACGAAAAATATGAGTATTACTTACTTTAATACTTCACTACATAATGAAAAATATTATAATTATCATAATTAAGTTATCTTAATATCGTCACTTTAATTAAAGTTTGTAAAAATAACTAATTATTAACTCTTTATTTGTTTATTTAACGACATTAGACTAGAGATGAGTTTATTTTAATTAAATATATAAAATTGAATATTGATTTCAAAGAATTGATAATTAGTGTACAAATATACTCTATATTAGATATATTTATTTAGTTTTATGTTTCATTAGAAGTTTTATTAAAACCCGAAACAAATAAGAGTTAATTATGAATGTATTCATAGATTAAATAAGAAATGAAAGTAAAATCTTATAAAAAATAACATATAGTGTGTATTAATATAATGAGAAATGAGACATACATTTGGATTGTCGTAATACTCTTTCCTTCTGGGATTAGTATAGAAGAGGAATCGAGAGGAACCCTGTTTTCGCATTCGACCTCTTCTTCTGGAGCCGCGGCCTCTCTTTCCCTCAATCATTGAATTTAAAACTATTAGACAAAGAATTACAATAAAAAGATAAGTCGAGAAACGCATTGAAACGGTTTGGGTATCAGTGGTTGTGATTATTATTCATTGGCTTTTTTCAGACAACAATCACTTCTGTTGATCACTAAAAGTATTAAAACTGTTTTCAAGTCTCTGTTGTTCACGAGTTAACCAGTGTTTGGTCTAACTGTGCGCACGTCTTCACACACGAGATCATTGATTTTGTTACACTTCCAGTCCTTTTGTGCGCATTTCTTATCACTCAAAAACTATTGTCTTTACATCTCTTATCAAAACTTTATAAATTAACAATTATTTTGCTTATATTTCAAGTGCTTTTCAAATACAATTCAATTAATTTGACTAAACTATAACTAAAATATGATCGTTAGAGGAATTATACTGATATTACTTAATGTTAAATACAATTTAAAAATTGTAAATAATTTAAAGTGCATGATGTATTTACTTAATTTACTCATATATTTGGTGTACAAAAGTGAAAGCCTATGAATTGATGAGTTAATTAAGGATTGATTGCAAAATGTAGGGGCGTTTGGAACGTGCCGTTCATATCAGAAGTCTATCTAATGAATGGAAGTCTATTGAAAGGCCGCGAATCCAATGAAATTGAAGAAACATTTTCGCCACAGTTTTATAGCAATAAATACCCGGATTTAGACTCAGACATGACTTTCTGTGCTTTACTTCGAGATAACGGAATCTTTATGTTTGTAACAAATGTTGAAGATTTCGGTCATTTAGTGATCAGTTCGACGTTTGATACAAATCGCTTAAATCCAGACTTTTATGAGATTTATTCAAATCAAAAGGATTGGCAAAAACGATATATTCATGAAGATTATAGCAATATTTTAAAAGCGGAAACCCAAGTGGAACAGCCCTGTCCTGATGTCTTTTGGTTTCCTGTTGTTACGCCTGCTTTCTGTACACAACTCATTGGTTTGTATTTGATTAACGCGTCTACAGATATCATAATTATATTTAATAATTCATTATTTTTTTAGAAATAATGGAAAATCACGGCGAATGGTCTGAAGGGAAGAACAAGGTTAATATTTATTAATTAAAACTAGTATTCAAATTTATTATAGAAATTTGTTTAATTGATTTAACTGTTTTCTAAACGCTTGAAATCAGCTTAAGTTAATATCATGAACTAATTATTGAAATGCAATACAATTACAAATTAATTGATTATATATTTATTTTGCATGTGAAGGACCCGCGACTGGCCGGTGGTTATGAGAACGTGCCGACCAGAGATATACATATGAGTCAAGTAGGCTTTG